CCCCAAAACCCCAAAACCCCAAAACCCCAAAACCCCAAATATTACAAAAAAAATTGATCCACATTCTTCTTTTAATAAATGGAAATTTTGCTCCCCAAATCTATCTCAAGAATTCTACTAATCTATCCCTAATTGACTTTCCTGGCATCCAATTCACAAAATCCAAAAACCACAACCATCACCATCATCTCCTCTACTCATTCTCTACCACATCCCTTCAATCCCCCTCCATTCACACAAAACACATCATTAAACCTCCCAACCCCATACCCAAAATTCCTATTAAAAACTCCGTACCCACATTCCCAATCACCCCTGTTCCAAATCCGATCTATTCAGTCCCAATTACTCCAAAAATCCCCATAAAAAACCTCATTCCTTTCCCCTAATATCCCTTCTCCTACTGCAAAACTCCCTAAAACACCGAACAAAAGCTTACTCCAATCTCTTATTCTACTAAAACCCCTAAATAGACCTGAAAGAGCTATTTTAGAAAATCCAGATTTGTTCTTGTTAAGGCTAAATTTTTGACTGAGAATAGGAGTCAAAGAGATATGAGGAGTTTTAGTGGAGAAAGGATTTGGGGAGTCCTCTAAGAGAATTTGGATGATAAGTAAAGGAAGAAGAGAAGGAAAGGGAGGGTTTTAGGAGTAGAGGGATATTTGAGGGATTAGATTATTTGGGGAAGTTTAGGCAAGAAGATTATGATGATTCCTTAACGAGTTTAGCTGGGTTTCCTCTTGGGAATACTCCGAGTCTCTGTCCTTCCATATCGTGGATGATTCTGGTATCTCTGAGGAAAGAATCACCGAGGAGAACTCCTGGCAAGTTGATTGGCATGAGTCCGACAATGCAGTACTTAGTGAAGAGAACTTTTTGCTCAATGATGAATTCAGAGGCTGGGACTTCCATCTCGAGACCTCCGAAGTTGAAGCTAATGCTCTTGCTGTAGATATCAGCTGGGTCGCTACATTTAACCATGTACAATCCTTGACTTTGGATTGGGTTTTTGAAGTCAGCAAGGAGGTTATCAATGACAACCTTGAAATCGTCTGGGTTGAATCCGATCAATGAAGTTCCAGTATCCCAAATGGAGCTGTGGTACTTAAGGTCGACACCTTCTCCGTTGATAGTTACTGAGTCGAAGTCGGTACTCCAGTAGATCTGTCTGTCGGTGGTCTCCAAGAATTCAAGATCGATCCAGGTAACGCCAGATTGGTCTTCCTTGTTCTCTCCGAAGTCAATGTAAGATCTTTCACTTTCGTGTCCAATGTAGGTAGTGAATTCTCTTCTGTCAATAACGTTTTGCTCGAAAAGCTTATCGACGAGGAGGTCTTCATCATCAGTTACGACTGGGGTAAGTCCAACAATACCACTTGATTGCATACCGTCGTTATCTTTTCCGTTCATGGCTGGGATGAATCTAGCGTTAGCTTGAACTCCTGGCAAACCAATTTGGTCAACAGAGATATCTCCAGTGACTTCTCCCTTTCCGTATCTCAAGGTTCTCTCTTCTCCAGTGGATTCATAAGTGCTTGAGGTGGCTGGGTCGAATTGGTGCTTGTTGGCAGAGCATCCACTGCATCCCTTTCCGGTAGCCCAAATCCATCCTGATCCGGTATCATAGACAACATCAAAGACTTCGTGTTCACTTCCAATGGTGACTGGTCCGTAGTATTGGAGGTCCTGGAAGTTGGTTAGGTCGATAGCTGGGTTCTCGGTATTGACCAGGCTGTCTCTGTCAGTGGTAAGTGGGATAGAAGTATCCATTTGGCTAAGAAGCTCTTTAGTGGTTCCGGTCTTGTAAGTTCCGGCAATGATGTCCTTCTCAATGGCCTTGAGAACTTCATTTGGAAGCTTCTTGGTCTCTAAGTCAACTCTCAAGCATGAAGCAAGAGCGACAAGAGCAACTAGTAATAGTGCAGTCTTCATTTTAATTATAAAAATTGGATAATTATTTTCTTTTTTATACCATTGCTAGGGGTTTTGGGGTTTTGGGGTTTTGGGGTTTTGGGGTTTTGGGGTTTTGGGG